GTGGTTTTATGTTTGAACTGCAAATGGCAATGAAAAGTGCCATCTTCTATTTAGATGAATAACGACAGGAATGCCCAAAGAACTGCTTTTATTATCAATTTCTAGGTCAAGAAAGTGGTCAGCAAAGTGACAGGACAATATTAACTTTTTATTTCTTGATGTTATTAATCAAGAAGCTCCCTGTTCTTAAATCCATCGTGTTCGCAAGTAGTCCTTCTTTGCACAGAGAATTGAGGCGCAATGAAAAGATTTCGTAATTCTAATTCAGGAATTAATGCGGATTGTGACTGTCGATCTTAATGTCTAGGTTTGTAGTTAGAGTACCCTTGTTTTAAAGGGAATAGCTTGTAAAACACCCAGAGCTCTCTACGCCTCGGTTATCAAACCTGTTAGCTGACCTTTTCTAGGTTTGAGACTGGCTTTCACGCCTACCTTAGTAGTTAGGGAGTATGCATTCCGCATGCTTGGGTCGTTTCCCATTCATCATGATGAGACTCTGATGTTGCTTATCAAATAAGTTCGATTGAATTTTCAGTTTATGAAACATGCCCAATTCTATCCAGATCGAATCCAGATGTATCCCTTTGTCTGTTTATTAGTGCCATGTAATCCTTCCAGGTTGAATTGGCGTCGATGTTTTACACTGCCCTCGCAGCCTGGTTGTTCGAAAACATTACGGAAAGCGTCATTTTTTAAAAATTGACCATGACCTATCTATTTTCGTTGTCCACTTTACCATATTCCTTGGCTGTTCTTCGTAGTAATCAGATTAGGTGAGGATCATATAAGGCTTTTTTATTTCTTGTTTTCGATCGAGTTTCTGTCTGACCTCCATTCTCCGGTTTTTATCTGTGTTACTGTCTCCATTTCCTTGTTATGTGTTTGCAACTTTCAACCACATTGAGCGCATTCCTTCACATATTCTGATTAATTTGCTATCATTTTCATTTGTTACTGTTTTCTCACTTTAGTGAACTATTTTAGCGAATCCGCGCAGCGTTTCTCGACCATGATTCAGAAGATCGCCTTCGCCATCGAGAATGCGCTGATGAACTTCGCCAGTGAACTACGCTCCGCCGGACTGACGTTGATAGGTGTCCGAGTGTGCGTCGCCCCCGACCTGGTAAGTGGCCGCGTGATATACCCGACTTCCGCTGTGGCGTTTCTGTTTACAGATCGAATATAAATGCGGAAGCTGCGGCAAACCTTTGCCGGATGCGATGCTGCCGGCTATGGACGACGTACTCATCCCGCTGTTGCAAATGAAACTTGGTGAACACTGTTCTACGTGGTCGGCTGAATTTGTGTTTGCTGTTATTCATGTTTAATATTTCATTGAACTATCGATTAAACTTTTTTCAGTTTTGCCTCGAATGACAAATATCCTACTACATATTCGACATAAAACTTTAAACTTTGAATGTCAACTTGTTTCATTTTATCAAGTTCCGTGAGTGCGTTCTCTATCTGCTGTGTATGTTACAACTTATGAGTTACGTTGAAACCATTGCTGTTCATCAGTCTTTCGCGAACTTTCACAGTGGTGCCATACAGTGTTGCTCGACCCGATGAAATGCGCAAATTGCAACTCGCCCTGACAAGCATGCCTTCTGAAACGTGATTACTGGCAGTCGAAATTTGCTGAAATGTTCTTTTTTTCATTTATCCTTTCTGTACAAGAGGATTCCTAAATATCGACCTGCAGTAGACGAACTTGTTCATAATAAAACCAATAAATACGCTTTGGACGTTGCTTGATCTTCTCGGCGGTAAGTCCGGCCCCTGCCATCTGTGACGTTGGGGTTGCAGCATCAAACAATGATGCAACCGTTCATGACCTTACGTCAGTACCAGAGTGTTTGCAGGAAAATATTTTAAGTTTGTAGCAATGTCGAGATTCAGTGAAATGTTTCAAGTCATTCAAGGCCTTTTTTCGAATCTTGCTGTCATATTAGCAAGAAGCAACTTCTTGGTAATCTGGTACCAAAGAACATACCAAATTCGTTCAATCGTGAGAATTTGATTCGAGTCATGACTATTCGAAATCGGTTGCGAAACGTAGGCACCATCGAAGGCAGAAGAAAATATACTGGCTGTGATGGAGAGCAGTTGAACGAAGGGTGCTAGAAATATCTTCGTGACCTATCGACAACAAAATGCTTCGCAAAATCAGTGGCGTGCAAGATATACGAGCATAAGAGAGAGAGAGTAAGATCCTTTGGGCATACGGCGTCGCACGTCTCGATGAAAAGCAATGGACGTCGCACTGTCGAATGGTACCCGAAGGAAGGAAAGCGACTACTCTGGCGACCTCTGAGGAGACGGCGGATGTACGTAGAAAAAAAAGCGGGAAGGAACTGGATGTAAACTGCCAAGAGCATAATAGCCTGACATGATTGTACTCGGCGTGTGGCAAAATCGAAGAATCCATACTGAAGCCCGAGCAATCTTGATAAAACGAAGAACAGCGCCAGCCTACGTTGTACCGGCTGGATTCTGATGAATTGCGACCGACAAAACAATTTCACTTTTAAGATGGCAGAAACCATCTGTTGCCTTAAGAACTTGAAATCTTCAGCTACCGAAGGTTCGGGTGGAGTTCTGCCCACATTGCTGAAACACTGTTCGGTAAATCTGGAAGCAGTCCTCACGGACATTTTCAATGATTGCCTGCGTTGGGGTCAGCTCCCCGGTAAGTCGCTGATTCTCCACGTGACGCCAATCTTAAAGAAAGCGGGTGCTGAGTTGGCGAACTTTGTCTCAGTGACCGTCATATCCAGCAGTACCAAGTGTTTCAAACGATCACTGATGCCTTCGAGAGTAACATTATGACAATCCTGGTTAGACCTGATCCAGTTTGGTTTTCTACGACGTAGAGCACCACCGACTACATAGTGGTGATTATTTATCAGGTAGCATGGCAACTGAATAAAGGAACGCGGATCGTTCTTTGTGCCTTCCTCAGCTTCACATCAGCCTTTAGTACCATTATCCGTAACCAACTTAGGAGTATCATGAGACAGTGCGAATGCGATCCGTACGTTTCGAGGTGTCATGTCTCACCGTCAGACCTATCTCGGTTCGTTGTACCGCCCAAGAATCGATAGAAGGTACCAGCGAACAACCTCGGCGTCCGTCAAGGATCAGTTCTGTAGCCTCTGCTGTTTTCCATCTATGAAGCTACATGTCAGGTCACCTTTCTCAATTTGTCTGAAATGCGATGATGTCACTGCATTGATCACAACGGTGTCCAACAGGGAAAAACTGCTTGACTATTTCAGTGAGTTGGAGAATATAGTTTGATAGCGAGAAAATAGTGTCTGGTTGAATGTGGGGAAGTGCTTCGAGTGTATTTCATGCCTCTAAATGTATGCTTCCCCGACGCTGCAGAATGTTGCTCGAATGGACTGCAACGTTGGTCAAGCTATCTGGACCAAGAAACACTCCTTCATTTATCCAGGAGTGCACCTTAACGATCGGCTGAATTGGTCTGATCA